TCGGTATGACTTGCGGTCACGGCGCGATCGTCGGTAGGACTCCACGGTCACGTCGTGATCGTCGGTAAGACTCCGCGGTCACGGGGTGATCGCCGGTATGAGTCGCGGTCACGGCGTGATCGTCGGCATGACTCCGCGGTCACGGCGTGATCGTCGGTATCACTTGCGGTCACGGCGCGATCGTCGGTAGGACTCCACGGTCACGTCGTGATCGTCGGTAAGACTCCGCGGTCACGGGGTAATCGCCGGTATGAGCCGCGGTCATGGCGCGATCGTCAAAATGACTTCGTCTCCTGCGTTCGCGGACCTATCGCTCGCAATAGCGGCGTCATCGGCACTCGCGAAGCGGCAAAATTGCCGACGATCGGACCAAATCCCGTCCCGAAAAATTCCCGAATCAAATGTAATCCCGTCCCGATAATCGGGAATATTTTTTTCCCGAAAAATTCCCGAAATTTAGGGACCCGTCCATCCCTAGTATTTAGACACGTGATCACTAGTCTCAAATCTTTCCCACGACAACAGTCGTTTCAGTACTGCCACAGAAAACATATTACTATAACCCAGAATGCCAACCGCATGGTAAAAAGCATTAAGTGTTTTGAGAGAGCTTTGCCTGTCAATCGTAGGCAGCGCCACCAGCGTTGCCATGCACTCAGCATAGCAACGCTGGTGGCGCTGCCTACGATTGACAGGCAAAGCTTTCTCAAAACACTTAATGCTTTTAAACATGCGGTTGGCATTCTGGGTTATAGTAGTATGTTTTCTGTGGTACCGCCCACTTCCTGCCGATCTAGTCCGGTTAAACCGATGTGCTGATAAAAATTGTCCAGTTAAAGAGATGTCATTTCCGCCGAGTGTAGTCCGGTTAAACTGATGTCCGGTTAAAAGGTGTCTGGATAAGAGGGAATCTACTGCATTTAAATTTACTAGTGCACCTGTTGCTCGAAGTCGAGCAATTGCTAGGTATTATAGGTGTTATTTCAAAACAAAAAACCTTAACAGTCATAATTTAATATGTAAAAGAGTCAACTCCAAGATAATGTAATCAATCATTCCACTCCAGTTATCGAAACTGAAAACGAACTCACTCTGGAAGCAAATGCTCTTGTGTGTATCATATGTTTACTATAAACAGCTGCAATTAATACAAATTATTCGTCTGTATAAGCACAGAAAACATGTGGTATCGTATAAGTAAACAAAATATTTTCTTCATAAGAAATACATTGCGATTTCGATGGCCTGTGGGACAAAGTCCGAGGACTTTTATTACAGGAATTGGTGAAAGGGGGCGTCTACACAAAAAATACTTTATTTTGACACGTCGTTCATTATTAACGGAGGAGTAGTGTTTCATAGAAATCGCCTTCATGTATTATATATAAGGATTCTATGAACTATATGCTGACTGCAAAATTGAAATATATGTGGTTTAGCAATAGAATCACTACCTGGATTTGTTCCTATCTTATCGACCGACTGCAGGTTACCAGATTGGGAAATGAGTCATCTGAACCCCTCGTTAAAAAACAGGGGTGTTCCTCAAGGTAGATGTTTGGGGCCTGTTACTTCACACGCTTTACACAGCTCTGATTTTTGCATTATACTGCAGCATACAATGCAGATGATTCTCATTTGAACTTATAATATTAGCCTGAACCCAAGAAGGCGGTCATCAACAAGATCAACACTGATTTGGAGAACATCTCCTAATGGTCTCACAATAATGGGCTTAGGCTCAACTCAGACAAGTACACTGTACTGCATACTGCACCTGTGAACCTAGTACAGAAACAACTGAGAAATAATGGCTTGAGTATCAATCTTGATGGCAGGAGTTTGGAGTTAAACTAGTCTGTGTGTGACAAAGCCAATATTCTTGTCGCCATCATTGACAGAAATTTGAGTTTTTCAGACCATACCACATCTCTCAACGTGCAATAGGAGGTCTGTACAAGTTCAGAGGTATGCTGCCTGAGGCTGCAAAGCTTCAACTTATGCAGTCACTAATATTGTCAGTATTTTACTACTGCTTCCCTTGCCTATAAGGAAGACATGCAGAATTCATTGGGTTCAAAACTAAGCAATCCAATCTGTATTCTGCCTAAAAAATCATTTTCCCCCTTCCGTGAAGTAGCCGGTCTGTTGCCTATGGAAGCCATGTGCAAGTTTTTGACGTGTTGCGTGACTCACAGGGTCTTTCCGTGTGCCTGACTATCTTTGTGAGAGGCATTTTGTCCGGGATGAGGTTATCCAACATAGGACATGTAATGGTGGGAGGCCTCACTTTCCAAGGGTCACCTTGGCATTGGGAAAGAAAAGTTCCTCTTACTTTGCACCAACATTGTACAAGTGACTACCCGAGAGCCTAAAAACAGTTGCACCCAGTCTTTGCCAAAGTTTTTGAACGAATTTTACATGACCAGCTGTACAATTATTTTGAAGATAATTCCTTGTTTTCAACTATACAGTATGGTTTCAGAACTGGGAAATCTACAATTCAAGCTGTGACCTATCTTGTAGATGCAATCCTAGCAAACCTTGAAAGCAGAGCCGATACTGGTGTCACCTTATGTGACCTCAGTAAAGCCTTTGATTGTGTTTGTCATGAGACATTGCTGGCTAAGTTAAAGTACTACAAGGTGACTGATACAACTCTGTCACTTCTTAGCTCATACCTAGATAATAGAGAACAAATAGTCTGTGTCAATAATCAGTATTCATGTAAGAGACTTGTACCCTTTGGCGTGCCGCAAGGTTCGGTTCTTGGACCTCTTTTATTCCTTGTCATGGTTAATGACATTGATGTTAATGTACCATTTGAGACTGTATGTTTTGCTGATGACACTACTTTGTTTAATGCTGGTTCTGATATAAAAACTGTCAATTTCAATTCTGAAAGTGCCCTTAAAAGTGTATCCAACTGGTTCAGTACCAATGGTTTCATACTTAACAATGACAAAACTCAAACCATAGTTTTTAGTAATAAAAATGTCAAGGCTAGTGATTCTCCCTCCTGTGATCAATTAGGGTTAAGTAATGTTAAACTATTAGGCTTAGTTCTTGATAGAAAATTGACATGGCAATTTCATACGGATTATATTTGTAACAAACTTTCAAGAGTTGTATATTTACTAAGATCTTTAGATAAAAATGTCCCGAAGTCATATCTCAAGCTTGCTTACAATAGTTTCTTTCAAAGTAATTTACTGTATGGCATATGTTTATGGGGAAATGCAGCTGGAGTACATGATGTCTTACTGGTTCAGAAAAAAGCTGTCAGAATACTAGCTTCAGCTGACTACTCAGAGCACTGTAGGCCTATTTTTATCCATGAAAAAGTGTTAACTGTCTTTAGTTTATATGTTTTGTATGTTTTATTAGAAGTAAAAAAACAATCTGTATTCTTGTTGAAACGGCTAAATGTACATAGCCACAACACAAGGCTCAAGCATGAAATTGACATTCCCTTTTGTAGATTGACCAAAGCAGCCAAAAGCTCTAAAGTTATAGGGCTTAAACTGTACAATATACTACCTCATCATGTCAAGAATATTGAATCCTTTGCTAATTTTAAAACTGTTGTAACAAATGGTCTTCTAAAGCACCCACTTTATTCTGTTAATGAGTTTTTGCATTTGAGTGCTACTGATTTTACAGATTTTAAGTAACATGCATTGTTATTCAACAATTTTTATTTTATGATATTTATTCTCAATTGACAACTGTGATCTCTTCTGTGATATAGGCTAAGTTTTAAATGTATGTTATATAAGGTCTACTGTGATAATGTTCATGACTCTCTGTTACATTTTCTAGTTTATAGTTTTCTTTGACAATGTCTATTGCACAACTGTGTCTAATGACAATAAAGGATTCTTATTCTTATTCTTATTCTTAATAGGCCTACTTTTAAGATTCAATTTTAAAAATTTTCAAAAGAAATTGATAATTAGTTATAGGTAGGTAGTTTAATGACAATATTTGTAATGTAGTATATCAGATAAACGCTAGTTAATAAAGACATTTTTACTTATTTTTTTTTAAATGGAATTTTTCTCTCTACTTATCTTAAAGTAGCACACATGTTCAAAATTGTAACTTGTGCTTCATTTTGAGGCCATAATATTTTGAAGAAAGATACCAGGCCTAAACTCAGTAAATAATTGTAACTAACAGAATTTAGGTAATACTCACAAATAATAATAATAAAGGTGATATTTTTATTGAAAACCTGTAGGCTATGATAAGTATTTGAAATAACAGTATTGCAGTGGTCATCCTAGTCAGTGAAGACAGAAGAAATTTAATAGCCATCATAAAACTGTTTGGCCTATTTCCACAATAGAATGTTAAATGGGTTACGGTTTGCATGGTTACTCTAGTATTAAATGAAGAAAGTCGTAAACATTAAAGTGATAAACTATACAACGTTATAAAACTGTTATGAGCTCAACTACTCCACTTTTTTTATCTGAGTACTCTATTAATTGGATTGTAATTGCATCATTACCCTAGTAATAAATTATGAAAGTGGTAAACCAACATCTCATGAAACTTTTACGTGTTCCTTACCAACTACCACTTTAGCAGCAAAATGGCACAACATCCCATCTGCGGTCACAGTAAAATTGAGAATATGTTCCAAGGTAACAGTAAAATCGAAAATCGTGAACATCTTCGCAGACACAGCAACATCATCGTCTCCAACAATCGCGGCAAAATCGTTAAATTTTCAATTGGGCATCTTCGCCAACGCTTTCTGCGGCTTGACTCGATCCGAGCTTGGCTCTCTAATAATTTTCAGCCTGTACTGATCCCCTGGGTAAATTGTTGTTTAGACCTAACCCGAAAATATTGGGGACCTGCATAACCCTAGTAAAATTTGCTCAGGAAAACCAGGAATAATGCGTGAATTTTTTAGGAGATCTGTGATCACCCTGGTTATTGTTGGGGATAATAAGATAGTTTTAGTTTCAATTTGTTAATGTTTTCAGAACCAGTCATTCAATGGAAATGACCCAGCAGGATACTTCAGTGTTCCTCCGAGTGCAGCGTCCACACCTCACCCTCGTCCTGCCTTCATGCCAGAGGACACTGCTTTCATTGTCTACCCTCCTCGTAAGCATCTTCTATGATACTAGCTTGTAGAGCCTGGAAATTAGTGATGTATCAGTACTAATACTTTGGTACCAACAGGGCACAGGCTTATAATAATGATAATAATAATAAATCTTTATTGTAATTTGGTAATACATAAATTACAATAGACAAGGTCACATTTGTTACATGTTTTGTTACACCTATATCTATAAAAGAGGATCTATGTATGTATGTAAGTATGTACCTTATGGACTCCAAAACCACTCTACAGAGTGTAGAGAAACTTTCAGGCATTATTAAGCACTAGCTGGCTCGACAGACGTCGTCCTGTCCTAATGTAGTTTTATGCCAATGCTCGTTCATTTTCAAGATGAGCTCATTTGCATGGCTCAATCACGTCCTGGTTGAAGTTTTTTTGCTACGCTTACTCACCTTTAGGTTGGAGCTCGTTCGCTGCGTCCGATCGCTAACTCGTTCGCTACGCTAACTCGCCTCCAGGTTCAAGTTGGTTCGCTACGCTCACTTACCTTTTGGTTGCAAATTAGCTGTTGTCATAAATTTAAAAAAATAATAGTGCTGCCTCCTGTTGGTAAACCTATTTACTTTTTAATGCTATTGAACATCACAGAATCAAATTGTTTAGTTGAAGAAGCTGTTAAGATTCTTTAATTCCATTTAAATATGAGTACTCATAAGGTTAACATGGAAAACTCCAGAGCCACTGGGGCAGAGCCCTTTTGACGGATCTGCACCAAACTTCACACAAACCATCCTTGAATAATTCTTAATAATGCCTGAAAGTTTCATTACAGTCTGTCGAGCGGTTTCGGATTTCATAAAGGACAAACAAACAAACATACATACATTGGATTTTATATAATAGATTATTCAAGAATTGTTTGTGTTAAGTTTGGTGCAGATCCGTTTGCACGAGTTTCAAGCAAACGAAAGGTGAACAATCAACATGAAAATTATATTTTATAATGGTTTTCTATGATTAAAAATCAATAGCTTCAGTATTGTTTATGTTTTTTGTATGTTTTAGACTCAAAATAATCAGTAAATTAAAGCCTATAATTTACTAATTATTTTGAGTCTAAAACATATAAAAAACATAAACAATACTGAAGCTATTGATTTTTAATCATAGAAAACCATTATAAAATATAATTTTCATGTTGATTGTTCACCTTGCGTTTGCCTGAAACCCGTCCAATTTGAATAACTTATAGCTTAAATAAAAGCCGGTATTTCACTGAAGGTTCTTAGACCAAAATATATAGGATTGTATAATTATAACTGGTGAAATACGTCTTAAATTGAAATAAGAATTAAAAAATACCCCCGCCGCAGCAAACCTGCAGACTAAGCGAATTTCCATTTCCCTGAATGGATTTACACTAAAATGTCTCCTTAAAAGTATCACATTTATTCCCTATTTAAATAGATTCAGTTTAAAACATACTTAGGTTTGCTGCAACAGGGAGGGTAAAAGTGTTTTTTATGTAAAATGTTAATAGTTGGTAAGAAATAAAAACATTTTCCAAATTTGGGCAAAATATGTTAATAAACAAGCAAACTACAACAGTTTAATTATATTCTCCATAAGAATAACATGGAAATTTTAAATTTACAATTTTTTGGAATTTTCTTCGTAACCATTAGGTGCATTATATCGCTTCAATATACTAAATTATTTGTTTTTTTTAAGCTCTACAAAATAGTTTAGAAAGAAATAGCAAATTTTATGTTTTTTGGGTCAAAAATGGGAAAAACCCATTTTTACCCCATAAAAGCCCCCATAAACCCCCGTTCCCATGGTCCGATCATGCTGGTTCGCGAACTCGTTCGAATAAACGTAGGTTTACACGTTTGTACCAAATTTCATCAAAATCGGATCATTTTTGCTCGAGTTATCGCGCTAACGGACGCATATATGTATATATATATATATATATATGAATTTGAACGGATGGTGTTTTTGGCCTCTAGGGACCTCAAAACGAAAAAAAAAATCGGTCCCGGGTCCAGGTCTTACCATGAGTACTACGGTAATAGCTTATTCCCTATATGGGAAATTCGCTAATAAATCAAATTTATGTTTTTTGGTCGAGTAATACAGTAGATAAATATGCCGATACTTGATATGAAATTTTTGCGTGCATACCTTCAATTTGAGACCTCAATAGTGAAAATCAATCAGGTATCAGAGAAGATCGATCAGTGGAAGAGAACAAACTCGGAAAAGAAAAACCAAAATCAACTCTCATTAAAAACAAATGGGGAGCGAATATCGTTTACATATAAGCCGAGTGGGACTGTAGATATATTTATGCCGATGCTTGATGTGAAATCCGTGCATGCATACCTCCAATTTGAGACCTCAATCATGAAAATCGGTCGGGTAGAAGAGCTAAACAAACTCGGAAAAGAAAACCCAAATTTTTTAAATCATATACTAATTCACAAACCAATTCATCGCTAATGTAGGGGTTACTAAAAATATTACATAAGGTTTCCCCAAGTAAGCCTAGAACAAGCCTCCAAAAACAACTTCAACTGTTCATTTAGTTGGATGGACTCATAGCAAAGATGTTTTTTTAATTATTCAAAATGGAACCTACAATTAACGTCCAAACAAGATGTTAAAGCTATTGGTATACGATTCAGGCTTGTGTCGTCATTTGATTATATTATTATGATCTTACCGTTTCTGTTCTAATATCAGTGGAATAATGCTATCAGCTATTTCTTGATCTACTTCATTCAAAAGTCACCAGCTGATCTTATGCCTTTGTTTATGTGTCAAATACTGCTTCAATAAGGATTACATTGAAACTTAGAGGGCCCGTGGGGATTTGTTTGCCCGTTGTTTCCTAAGAGATTTGTTTGACGCCATTTAGATGAATTTATAGAATAAATAGAATAGACGCCATATAGAATAATTTTGATTGTAGCCTACCTATTCATGTAATTTTTTATGTTAATTGTTTGACACTATTCATGTAAACATGTATTTACAAATATGAATAAAGATCTTTTGATTTGATTTGATGTCGGCACTCACCGATACGGTATTTTTCACCATGCAAAATTTGAACAAAATTACTTCAGCCGTCTAGGAGGAGTTTGCGTATTATGAAATGCATAAGAGTCGACGTATAAGAGCTTCGCTCGCTCCGCTCAATTGTATCTGGTCTTCTGAAACACCGTTCCAACAAATTAATAATTTCTGGTACGTTCTCAGGATATATCAACACTACAGTGCTGGTATCATTTCTTTAGCTTTTCCAGTAATAGACTTCTGAAGTCATTGAAGATTCTCCAAATCAGTGTATTCATTCATTTCAGTAGATCGCCTGTATTCAGCTATCCAAGCAGGCCATTGGTCTAGATCTCCGCTGAAATTAGGTAGAGCTGACAATATTCTTGCGGCATCTTCTCTCTAAATATCATTTTATCAGGTTGACAATCTCGAGGGAAACACAAAACATCTCAAAGAATTCTCGCTCCTCCTCCACCTTCGCTCAAAGCTACAGTCCTTGCTTCTCGAGGATCTTCACAGTTTTCTTCTCGAGGCCGGAAACTAGACTGTACTTCGTGATGTGGCAAGGATATCTCCCGCTGTACACTTTTCATAATATTTATTGGAACATTAGTACAAGGCTTCAAAACGTTATTTTTATTAATATGTCCTCTAGGGGTCTGCGGTACAGAAAATGTAAGGTCGGTACGGTACAATATTTTGTACCTCGGTTCTTGGCACAAAATCGGTACGGTACGTTGCTACCCGTATTTAGAAAAACGTTACCTTAAAAATACAAAATTTCCTAATTTATATCCAGACCTTTTTAAATAGCTTAAAAAAACAAATAATTTAGTATATCAAAGTGTTTTTGTACGGTTATTGGTAACAGGACAAATTCAAAAATTGTAAATTTAAAATTCCCATTTTATTCTTATAAAGAATATTGTAAATTGTTGTAGTTTGCTTGTTTATGGATATATTTTGATCAAACTTGGCAAATTTATCTAAACAATTACAAAACTATTTGGATCATAAACGGTACTCTAGTTTTCTCAAGGTAGGACACGTGAATTGGAATTTTGGCGTTACAGACACAATGACAGAAACAATCAAACAAACGTACAGATATTGACATAAGACTCGTTTCGGCTTTCTTATTATATAACACGTAGAAATAACCAAACACTTCATGAATCTACGCAATGTACAGACAAAACAGTAAAGACTTTATAATCTTATAATTAACTATAGTGTTTCTGCCCGTGCTTCGCAACGGGGTGAGAATCTTTGGGTCTCTAAATCCACTGTAAAAAATAGTATATTTCGTACCTAGGGCCGAAAGCAAGGTTTTGCCGACTCGAGATCGGGTTTTAAGTTCGAGACGAATTCGAGAACGTGAAACGATCGAGAGCTGCAAACCCATTTTGGCTCGTGGTACGAACGCTATTTTTTACCCAAGTATGTTTTGCAATAAAACGTCCCTCTTATTTATGTGAAATATTTTGAGGAATCAGCAAAATCAAAAATAACAATAAATAGTTGTCTAGGCAGCTGTGACAAAAAAAAAAAAACAAGTCTATTGCAATGCCATGGATACAGCTTGTGCATTTAATATACATTAATCTTTTAAGTAAATAAGCGAACAAGTGATTTTGCTGCCCTAGGGATGTAAACGCCTGCTCGGCCCCTATATGACGATGACAGCTGGCATGGTCAGAAAAACATAACTTTCAGCCACCAATTAACGTATGTAAAACAGCTAAAACCTCATAGTGTGGTGAAAAATTCGTTACACATACTTTTACATTACCATGAATTAATTATATGCATACAGAAAAAACTGAGTCACTCTTATTGCGTATTTTAAGGTAAATTTCTTGTATATTCCCATGAAACTGATAATCTACCCAGCACATTAAGGCCTTTAATCCAAGTATCTAAGTTCGTAAACCATACATATAATGTAACGATAAAATATCAACGACATAGC